TTATAGATATTATAGATATTATAGATATACCCCCACTTTTCTTTTTTGAAATACCAAACAAATCCCATTTTTGCTGGAGAACCCCCATTCCATGTCACAGTGACGACTGACTTTTTCACGGAAACTGGCGCAGCTCTTCGCAGCTTCTAGGTGCAGATATACCCCCACTTTTCTTTTTTGAAATACCAAACAAATCCCATTTTTGCTGGAGAACCCCCATTCCATGTCACAGTGACGACTGACTTTTTCACGGAAACTGGCGCAGCTCTTCGCAGCTTCTAGGTGCAGCAGCCTCAGAAAACATGTCATTTCAGCACTATTCAGCATGAAGAAAAATGGAAAGCCAGTTCCAGTTCCTGCACTCCCATAGCAACAGAGCCGCACTACACTTTTCCCTGTACAGCCAGAGCTCTCTCATTGAAACTCTCTCGCAAGAGTTTTCAGATGTTTTCAGTGCTCGAAAATTGGCAAGTCTGCGCTGTCGCAGCCAAAACGCGCATCAATTCTGTTGACAAAATTGGTCCTTGCAGCCCTTGCCATTCTCATCCGGCTGTTCAGGTCCCAAGCTTAGTCTGTAGCACCTCTGTGACTCTCTTGAACCAAGGTCCGAAGGCCTCAGGAAAGGGACAACAGCTGCAGACACTGCGGGCACGGCAAAGGATACAAAGATATCATCATTATTATTGTCATTATTATTGTTAGTGTATATTGTTGTTTTATGATTGTCATTATCATTAGGTATCATTATCATTATCTTTATTGTTCTTAAGTATGTTCTTGTTCATACATGTAGAGGAAACACAGGGTTACAATTATTCTGGTGGAATCAAATCATCATCATTTGCGCCTTGTGGGCTTCCATCTCCGCATGGAGGGGGAGATCCGAAATTCCTCGAATGCATCCGAAGACGGCCAGATCCGACAGGTCCGGCTTGTCGCCACCACGAAATGCTTTGCTGCCAACTTCTGCAGTCCAGGCCTTGAGCGAATTGAATTGATCTGTTACCCTATATGACATATATTACAATACTATTACAATATTGTCGCAATACTGTTGCACTACATGGAATGTTGTAGAAAGTTCGATGTGATTTGGTCATTTTCACTTTGGGCAACCTTTTTGGAGCTTCGAGAACTCTGAGCAATTCCAACTGCAATGTCACCGATGAAGAAAGTCTGGATCTGGACAGTTTCTACATGGCTTTCTCAGTTTGACACATCAACGGCTGTGAAGAGAGCATCGCGCTCATTCTCCATGCCATACTTCTTCTTGATCTTGCCATGTGCCGCCGCCATGCCTTCCATCAAGGATCTGAGGTTGTCTCAACCTGAGCCTAAAATCCCATGGTTTCTCATTGTATCACTATATGTGCCCATCCAAAAAATACACTTTACGTGGTGTTTCCCATTTTTGGACGGTGCCATCTCCACAATGGCCGCTGGCCTAATGCGCCCACAGCGCGAGTAGCCACAGCACGTGGAAGTGAAAATTCAGGACACTTTTGCAGGTATCCGAGAGCCTCTGCTGCTGTTCATTGCTGTTTCATCTCATTTCTGACAAATTGGGTCTGCAGATGGGGATACCCATTTTTCATACCCATTTTTCATGAAATCACATGGCCATTGAAAAATGGGAAAATGCTGATGTTTCGCCATGATAAAACCCATGGAATTTGGGGCAACCTTTTGTCAAAGAAAGCCTGGCACCAGGTCACTGTCCAGCACTCCGACACGCTTCGGGTGATGTTCGGATACACGCAAACTGCGAACTTGTCCTGAGGGATCCGGCGGGTTTCTTCACCAATCCACCGGTCCACATGTTGCTATAAAAAAACATGAAATCAGCCAGAAAAGCAGCAGCTTTTCCCAGAAATGGCTTAAATTCTTGGATAATTCATGGCTATGGCCTCACCGGCTTGACCTGCCATGGCCCATGTTATGCCCTCGTCTGCATCGGCCGCAATGGTATGTGGAAAGGTGCTGTGTGTGAAAGGAAACATGGCTTGATCCGGTCAAGTCCCGAAAAACTGGATGGTTTACATAGTTTACATTGGGTGATGTTGGAAACTATTGATATCTATTGATTGATTGATGATTGAAGCATGAATTGAATATGATCAACATTGATCAAACCCATCTGATGTTCCGGTCCGGAAATTTGACCCATACCCAGACATACCCAGACTGCTTAACCATCAAGGCTCGTCGCACCAAGTGTTCCACTTGCGAGCCTCATCGCTCAAGAAATGGTTTGCCTCAGCTTTTCCCCAAAAATCCAAGGCGCCTCTGTTGCCAATCTGTCAGCTACACTCCAGCAAGCCAGGTCACATCCACTCCCGCATTCTTCAAGGTTCCCTGAAGGCTTCGCCAAGATACAACAAATAGACAGAAAAAACGGGCATCTCACAGGAAGCAGAGGCATGAGGCATGAGGCATCCATAAATCCATGTCATCTATCTATGTCATCTATCCATATCTATCATCATCTCCTCCCATCCCCACGGGGCCCCGTAGGGGTGGCCACACCTCGGATCCAGCCACTTTGTCCACAATCTTGGTGGAATCACCCACCACCGTCCCATCGGCAAACACGGCGATGGGCACCTTCTTGTAGTCCTGGCTGGCTGAGGGCTGAGTCTGGACATGGTCCAAGGGTCCAAGGGTCCAATTTCTTGCCGAGACTGGCCATGTCTAAACATTACTCAACATTACTCAACCAATTGCGAATTACTCAGTGACCCAGGTCAACCGTTGTGAAAACCCTTGAACGGCAGAAATTGATGCCCAACTTATCTACATTCCATTACTCTCCCTTTGGAGCACTGTCATCAACTTGGCCACGGTTCCATCTCCATTGGCTCCTTGGAAAACTTGATTTGAGAACGCGTCAAAGGGTCCACCTCCACAGATTCATATGGCACCTTCAAGAAATCCAACGCAGCCTCGCCGAAGCAATCAGCATGGCATCGTTGGATCATTTTGATCATTTTAAGAGCGACTCAAAATGTTTTGGACAATTTTGGAAATACCGAAATACCATGAAATACCATGGTTTTTCATCCAACTAGTTAGCACCATACTAACAAAAAGCACCGTGTAAGTGGTACGTGTCACTTGTCAAATATGTGCATGTTTTGCTGTCGAGTATGGCTCAGGAAACCAAGCCAAACCCCCGCCTTGGTCTTGTTGCAAAATGGACAAATGGCATACCTTCGCAAATGGTGCAGCTTCTGCTCGACATTGTTGCATTCTTATCATTCTTATTATTAAATCTCCCACTACCTCCAGAATAGTAATGGTCTTTTTCCTAGGTGTTTACATGGTGTTGACATCTGATTGGGGCTGATAATGATTTAATCACCCGTAAATAATATATATATATATTGTTTACTAGTTTGGGGTTAAACACCACATTACTGTCTGTTGGGGGATTATTCACCCGTTATATTCCTAGCAACCTCCAGCATGACCAGACGTGCCAGCACTGAAAGAGTCAGGCAGCTGGTAGAGCTTCAATGGCTCCGCAGCGGCTCGAAGCAAGGAGCGTCTCATGCTGCGGTCGGCAGTCTATCGAAGCAATTGAATCATATGAGAAATTGAGGAAATTGAGTGATTAGATGTGATTAGTAACATCATTAGTACGCGTCAACTTGCGAACGTTCAACACATGAATGGCTTGGTCCGGTACAAGTTGCCTGTCACTTTTGAGATCGTGATGATCGTGGGATTTGAGCAGCGATTTCGCTGCAGATGCAAAAAAAGTGGCCGGCGCCATGGCGCCGGATTTTTTCCACCGGTCAAAATGGGAGGGTACCCTCAATCGTCATGAATTCTGATCATCTTTTCCTACTAAAATCTTGCATCTCAGGATATCCTAATATATGACATACCGTATTTTGAAGTCCAAAAGAAGGATTCTACGTTTTGTCAGCAGCACCGAAAGTTGATTTGTTCTCAGTCATGGAAGGTCAGTTTCGAATCTCACCTGCATCCCTACACCCAACCAAAGAAAAAACAAACAAACGGTACACGGTCCACAATACATGATGGCAGGTTGAAACTGCAAAACAATCCCAAGAAGTCACCCTTGGCGGGTTTCAGTGTTTGGAAATGATGGCACTTCACCTGCACCTTGAAAGTGAGTTACGTGTACATATATAAAATATACATGCATATCACAATATACATGCATATATATATATATATATATAAATGCATATATATATATATAAATGCATATATATATATAAATGCATATATATAAATGCATATATAAATGCATATTTCTACATGCATGTATAATCATATATCATATGTTACCATACCATACCATTGCATTGCATTACATTGGAATACGTATCTTACATACATTTGGGTTCGTTACGGTTCGTTGGCACCTTCAATATCTTTGGCTGCGGCTTTCATGGTTCGCTTCCAGGTCCAAATGTTTCCCCATGTTTCGCCAAATATTCTTAAAATGAGGCCAACTCTCATGTTCTCAGTCTTCAGTTGCAGGGTTTGATATACCATTTGCCATCATTTACCCAGGGTTTCGTAACCCACTTTGCCATCATTTACCTATTTCTTGTTCACTGCGTTTTTACGCCTCTATCTTCATCAAGCAGCACGAAGTTCTGGCGTCCTTGAACCTGGTGGGGTGAAATATGGGTGTCGAACCCCATTTCGGACTGCAAGGACTGTCACAATAGCAATAACAATAACAATGACAATGACAATGACAATGATAAACACGATGATGATCGTGATGATCGTGATGATGATGATGATGATGATGGTGATGAGGATAAAAATGATGAAGAAGATGAAAATGAAGATGAAAATCAGGATGAAGATGAAGATGCTGCTGGTGGTGGTGTTGGTGGTGGTGGTGGTGGGGTGGTGGTATGGTGGTATGGTGGTATGGTGGTATGGTGGTATGGTGGTATGGTGGTATGGTGGTATGGTGGTATGGTGGTATGGTGGCATGGTGGTATGGTGGTATGGTGGTATGGTGGTATGGTGGTATGGTGGTATGGTGGTATGGTGGTATGGTGGTATGGTGGTATGGTGGTATGGTGGTATGGTGGTATGGTGGTATGGTGGTATGGTGGTATGGTGGTATGGTGGTATGGTGGTATGGTGGGGTGGTATGGTGGTATGGTGGTATGGTGGTATGGTGGTATGGTGGTATGGTGGTATGGTGGTATGGTGGTATGGTGGTATGGTGGTATGGTGGTATGGTGGTATGGTGGTATGGTGGTATGGTGGTATGGTGGTATGGTGGTATGGTGGTATGGTGGTATGGTGGTATGGTGGTATGATGGTGGTATGATGGTATGGTGGTATGGTGGTATGATGGTATGATGGTATGATGGTATGATGGTGGTATGATGGTATGATGGTATGATGGTATGATGGTATGATGGTATGATGGTATGATGGTATGATGGTATGATGGTATGATGGTATGGTGGTATGGTGGTATGGTGGTATGGTGGTATGGTGGTATGGTGGTATGGTGGTATGGTGGTATGGTGGTATGGCGGTGGTATGATGGTATGGTGGTGGTATGATGGTATGATGGTATGATGGTGGTATGATGGTATGATGGTATGATGGTATGGTGGTATGATGGTATGGTGGTATGATGGATGATGGTATGATGGTTTGGTGGTATGATGGTATGATGATATGATGGTGGTGATGGTGGTGATGGTGGTGATGGTGGTGATGGTGGTGGTGATTGTTGTTGTTGTTGTTGCTGTTGTTGTTGCTATTTTTACTACTATTATTTCTGTATTCACATTATTGTTCGTACCAAATATTTTTGACTATGTTTTCAAACTAATAATTATGGTTTTATGTATTTATTGCTGGCGTATCATTACTTTATGTTTAAACAATGTTAAATATCATTATATATATACTACATACTACATATTATACAGTATACATTGTTATTTTTCATATGATGCATTTTTATTATGTATTAAATAGGATATATTCAAAATTATACCTTATATGCTATATATCTTAAATACTATGATATAAGAAATCTACTGTTATATAGTTATGATTATTTTCATTACAAATGCATTATAGATTTTGCATTATATATGAGATAGTTTTATATAATGTTATAAGTTATAGCGTATTCATGATTTTAACTATAATATGTTATGATAGATAGTTTGTAACATGCTACTATGAAGTACATATTTTCGAATACCAGTGCAAACTATTGTGTATTATTTTTGGTCAATTATCATTAAGTACTATTAGTATTTTTACTTTATCTTTGTTGGCATATCCCACTCAATGACACTCAATGCCACTCAATGCCACTCAGGAGTTCTTGATTGTCGTTGGGTGGCGCGAGTCCAGGAGGGCATATGCCACTCAATGCCACTCAGGAATTCTTGAGTGGCGTTGAGTGGTGCTGAGTGGCGCAAGCCAACAAACGGACAGATTGCGTGTTCAATGTATTATAAAAATTTATCACTGATACTACTACATTATTGTTGTTATCCTGTTTTATAAACAGTTATTATTAACATTATTTTATATAATTATAGGAAACAAAGAAGATGACAGTGACAACATTAAACGACAAGAAATCTAATGATAAGAAATGGTCTTAAACGATGAGAAATCAAAAGAACTGATAATGAATAACAAGAAATGGTCGTAAATGGTAATAAATGGTAGTAAATGGTCACCAGTGAGAAAAAAAGAGTTTGCTAATCATACAGTAAGAAGAACAAACCCCAAACCAACCGCACTTTTCTATCGCTGCACCCCATCAACCAACCGCCTTGATCTCATCACGCCGGAGCCGGTGGAGCCGGCGGAGCCGGTGGAGCCGATGGCATCGAGGCCTGGATGGTGTGGTACATCCAATGCCATAAACCATTCCCAAAATCATCAGAAATGGCACTATAAATATCAATAAACCATCCCAGCAGCGGGTGTCCCACATTACTGGTAACCGAAGGAAGTTTAGAAGCCAAACTTCCGACAATATGGACAGATGGAAAAGCAGAGGTGGGAAGAGACAGAGAAGACAAAGGAAGAAGAAAGAAGATCAGAAAAGAGAAAGAATCAGAGGAAAGAAGATGCAGGTGCACGAAAAGGTAGAAAAGTCATGAAACACTGTGTTTTTCCAAGGTTTTGTGGCCCAAGAGCGTCGAAAAGTAGGCTCGCTACAGCGGCGGGTGCGGAGCGATCTGGGCAGATGAGAGATCAAAAATTGCAGCCGCTGTGGCGCGAAGCACATTTAGAGGTCAAAATGCTTAAAACACACCATTCTGGGAGCACTTTTGGAAGTTGAGATGTTGAAACAATGCAGGCCGTTGTGGCGCGAAGCACCTTTCGAAGTCAATGTGCGCAAAACGCCTCAGCTTCGGAACACTTTTGGAAGTTGAGACGGTCAAAACACCTCAGCTTCGGAGCACCTTTGGAAGTTGAGATGTTGAAAAAGTGCACACGGTTGTGGCGCAA